GCCTCCTCAACCCTCACCTACCCCATCGACCACTCCGTCTCCAACATCCCCGCCCAACACCCAGTGGTCACTTGACCTCCGTCTGCCACGTTGCAATCAGCGAGCACACATCAGAGGGGCTCTAAAAAGGCCATGGGAAAATTCCACTACCTTTCCATTCCACTTTGAAGCCCCCTCATACACATGGGCACACACCTGTGCACACATGTGGCCCCCAGGTACCCCTGCCACCTCTCACTTCTAATGGGGCACCCTCTGCCCAGTCCACTGGTCTCTGGCCACCCTGCTTCTCCCAACGAACATAACCATCTCTCCCAAGGTCTAGCCACGGCCGAGAGACACAGGCAAAGATGCCCCATGGCCCTCATCAGTCACCAGGGAAACGCACAGCAAATGACGCACTCACTGCACCTGCACCGCCGTCAGGCCGGCAGTTCTAACCTCCCAGCCGCCCCGAGAGAGAACGAGCAGGCAGCTGGCATCTGTCTGCACGCAGCACAGGAGGCCGGCCCTCCAGGACGGAACCTGGGGCCTGTCCATCAGCCTGCACCTTCGCCTCTGCCCATTTGTCCATGCAGAGCCCAGTCGTGTTTCAGCAGTTTCCCAACCCACACAGACCAGGAAGGCCTGGCGATCAACCCCAGGAATCAGCCCACGAAAACCCTGGGCACGCAAGTAACCCATCACGGGGTGGCAGAGGGCTGGGGTTTGCTCTGTCCGCTGGGGGAGGGAGGGAGGCGGTGGCTGACTCCACCCCAGTCACCACCGCTGCCCTGCAGAGCTTCCAGGCGGTCAATCCTGATGGGAGCGGCTGGGGGATGAACACCCGAGCTGAGCCCCTGCCCCAGTAAGGCTCCCAAAGAGCCTCAGGCTCTTGCCGGCTGGCTGCTAGCGGTTTCCAGGGTCCTCGGGGTGAGGAGTGTGCTTTCGACTGCTGCCTGGTGGGAGCAGCGGCCCTGAGTGCACACTGCACACTTCCAGCCGTGACTAAAACTCTCGGCCACCGAGTCCATGCCGACTCCCAGCGGCCCCACAGGCCAGGGCACAGCTGGTGGTTTTGAACTGCTGACTTTGTGGTTAGCAGCTCAAAGTATAACCCACCACATTACCAGAATCTCAATGACGCTGCTACTAAAATAAGCTGGCTCAGGCCCCTTCACTTCCCTGTGGCCCCAGCCCAGCCCCACCACAGGGGCTCGCTGTAGCTCATTTAAATCCAAGTCCAGCTCACTTCCCTCAATCCACCCCATGCCTGGCTCACTCTCACCTTTCAAGGACCTGCTCAAATGTCACCTGCCTGCTTGATGACCAGGGCCACCCTCCCGTCACCCTGCCTCAGGGTTGCTCCTCGGGGCCTGATGTCCAGGAGAGTTCGTGCTCAGCTGCGGGCGGGGAGCCAGTGTTTGTTGGGGTGGAGCCCACCAGCCTGCTGTGGGAGAAAGATGAGTCAGCCGTCTCCCTCGGGCGCCCTAGGGGCCGCTGTCACAGGGGGTCGCCTGAGTCAGGCACACAACAGAGCCATGGTCGGTGTGCTGCCTATGAAAGGCCCTGGAGGGCCAGCACTGGCTGGCCTGAGGCTGGAAGAGGCCCCAAGCTACAGACTTTGCCCGCTGTCTTGTCACCACAGCTGGCACACCCCCACCCTGAGACTCGGCAAGCGCCCCCCAGCACCACCAGGTCTATGTAAAAATTCCTTGCTAGCCTCAACACCCCTCACTCATCTCAGAGCAGCCCAGTTCTTGCGTGCGCCTGCCCCCACCTGGACTCTAAGGTGGGCACAGCTGACCCTGTCCACATATCCTCATGCCCCCGCACCTGGATATGGAAAGCAGTGCACCTCCCCACATGCCACCTCCGCCCACTGGGCCCGAATCCAGGCTCACAGGTGACGCTGGTTTGAGAGGACGCTGCCCAGCGCACTGAGCCTGCGAGGACCGTACTCGCAGCACGGGGCGGGCATGCATGGGGAGCCCTGCTCACCTTGCTCAGCTGAGACCGCATGCCCGGGGGCAAGCAGAGCATGGACCCCTGGACACTGATCCCTTGTTCTAGGTCCTCTCTGTCCCCCAGTCTCCCCCCAGACATCCTTCCTGCCAGACTCTGGGCCCTCCGGGCTGAGCCACTCTCCCCATGCAGAGCACTGAGCTGGGCTCCCAGGGGCCTGAGAGCTGGGGCAGGGATGGCCACCTCTTCTGGCCCCACTGCGGCGCCCCCAAGGGCAGGACCCGGGGTTCACACGCAGCGCTGACCTCAGTCACGGGATGGGGAAGTGGTATGTGTGGAACACGGAGTGGGCACGGGGCTGCCTGGACAGTCTCTGGATGCTGGCTGACTGGGGGTGGGCCTCTGGGCACAGCGACCACAGCCAGGTCGACTCTGGCTCCCAGTCAGGTGAGCACCTCGACCAGCACCCGTCGTTAGTACACTGCCCACTGTCTGCAAGTCCACGCCCACTCCCACCAGGCAGGGGAGCTGCCCCACGGGGTTTCCAAGACTGCAGGTCTCCACTGGGGGAGAGGGCTGCCTCACCTCCTCGCAGTGGCTGATGGGTTCCCGCCACACACCCGCCCCCCACCCCTGGTTAGGGCTATAGCCAGTGCGTCACCAGGGCTGCTCAGACAAGGAGTCAAACACTGCTCTCAAGACTCAGCTCTGACCCACTGTAAGCCTCCCACTGACAGCCAGCCTGTTAGAGACCCGCTGCAGCTGCAGCAGCTACACAGAGGCTAGTGCTGACCACTTGCTGCCTCAGGAGCAAAGCCACAGCTAAGGCTTGACCCAGGTGTCTCTGGTCCTGAGTCCCTGCTCCACTAACCATCACAGCCACCTCCCTGCCAGGCCACCAGCACCACCTCATGAGGGTGGGGTAGATGGGGCAGCTGTCTAGCAGAAAAAGGAACTGCCTCAAGAGTGGCTAGAACCAGGTCTGAAGGTCCACTTGCTGAGGGAGTAGGAGAGCTAAGGGGGCCCTAGCAGTGGGAGATGAGCACCCAGGTGTTTCAGCAGGGATGGGACTCCAACCAGAGAGAGAGGTCGAAGTGGTCTAACCAAAGAGGGGGAGGGGGATCTAACCAGAGAGAGGGGTCTAACCAGAGAGGGAGAGAGAGAGAAGAGTCTAACCACAGGGAGAGGGGGTATTAACTTGAGGGAGAGAGAGAAAGAGACAGAGATAGGTCTAACCAGAGAGAGAGGGGTCTAACCAGAGAGGGTGGGGTGTCTAATCAGAAAGAGGGAGATGGGTCTAACCAGAGAGAGGGGGTTCTAACCAGAAGAGGGGGGTTTCTAACCAGAGAGAGGGAGAGAAAAATCTAACCAGAGAGGGAGAGAAGGGTCTAATCAGGGCGTGGGGGATGTTCAACCAGAAAGGGGTCTAACCAGAGGGGTGGGTATCAACCAGAGAGAGAGAGAAGTCTAACCAGAAAGAAGGGGCAGGGTGTCTAACCAGAGAGCGAAAAGGATGTAACCACAGAGCGGGGAGGGGTCTAAGCAGGGTGGGTGGTGGGAATCTAACCAGAGAGAGTGGGGAGGGGTGTCTAACTAAAGACAGCGAAGGGTCTAAGACAGACTCTCAGCAGAGAGATCAAGGTTCTCAGCGCAGAGAGGGAAGAAACACTAAGCAGAGGCTCATGGCAAGTTAAGCCTGCATCCCAGCCACCTAGGACCCGATTCTCCATTGGCTTCCCAGTAGCGCCCAGACAGCGAGCAGTCACCCCGGAACCTAACCAGTGTCCTCGACACTGCGCTAGGTCTGCAGCCTCTTCGCCGCTGGCCACCGCGGGCAGTGACAGTGTGAGGGTGGGCGCCTCGGCCCCAGTTGGAAGCAGCCGACCTAGGATAAACCCGGTCCACTCCTGCTGCGGGCTCCCATGCCCTCTGCTCTCACCACCCTGAGCCTGCCCAGTACTTCGGGCCTCCCTGCATCTGCACGGCTCAGGGGTGGCCCTCTGCGGCCGGCCCCCCCAAAACCAGGGCTGGGACGTGGAGACTAGACGGATGCATAGGGCTGACCTTGGCCCGATCCCTTCCCTCCCGGGGTCGTCCAGCGGGAATGAATGCGAGCCCCGCCAGGTCAAAGGTCGCGCGGCTGGGAAGGCCACGCGCGGCGGGTCCATTTGAAAAGAAAGGGGAAGCCCGGGAGCCCAGGCTCTCTCCCGAGGCCGCAGCATCCGGTCAGGCCCCACGAGGGCCTCCACTTCCCCAGGGGAGTCGCCTCTACTTCCGGCCACGGCCGGTGGACCGAGAGTGAGTAACGGAGGGGTGGTGCGCACGCGCACTGGGCATCCCGAGCGCGCCCCCCCGCCCCGTGCGCGCACGCGCGGTCGCGCCGCACACTCGCCGCTCCGCGCACCGGCCCGTCCCCCGCCCACCCCGCACCACACGCCGCTCACTGGTGACCTCGAGCGTGTGCGCGCTGCGGCCGGGCCGCGCCCCCCCTCATACCCGCGCCCCCTCCCCTCACGGCGACGCGCACGCGCACCACTACACCCGCCCCGCCGCGCTCGCTCTCCCGCCGCCCCCCCCTCCAGTCCGGAGCCCGAGGGCCCGAGGCACGCGTCCCCCGCCGCCCGAAGGCACACGTCCCCTCCCCCGCTCGACCTTCACCTCCGCAGGCCCGGAGCCGCCGCGCCGCGCTCCTCCTCCTCCTCTCTCCTCCCTCGCGGATGGTGGCAGCGGAGCAGCGGCGACTCAGACCCTGGGGTCAGGGGGACGGGCGCCCAGGCCGGAAGTGACCTTCCCGGCCGCTTCCGCCCGCGCCGCTCCCCTCCACCCCCACCTCGGCCTCCACCCCTGTCTCTCCTCTCTAGGAAGACAAGCCCGGCGACCCCGGCCTGGCCGTCCCCTCTTTCCCGGCTCTATGGTCCCGAGTGGGCACCTTGAGGCTCCACTTCCGGACGCATCTAGGACCCGGGTCCTCCGTCCGGGCTCTATGGCGCCTCGCGCCGGGGGGCGCCGGGCCCCTCCCCCTTCCAGGACAGCAGGCGCGAGCTCGGCCCGTTAGGCGGCGACTTCCGGGTGTTGAGGGAGTTGCCCCCCCCTCGTCCCGGTGCGCTGCGCGCTGCGCCTGCGCGGGTTGCTCCGGGCCCCCGGTTGGAGGGGTGGGGGGGACGAGAAGGGCCGCTCGTGCCACGCCGGATCCTCCGGTCGTCTCTATCATTGTAACCCCTTCCCTGCTGGGTCGCTTCCCCAGCTAGGTACCTAGAAGGCTTCTTCCCATGTCAATGACGCCCTGCGTCTCTGTCTGCCCCCACTTTCCCTTTCCCGGCCCCGGTTCCCTCCTTCCTAAAGTCAGAATCCCCTCGAACGCATCCCCTGCTTCGGGAGGGCTTTCAGAAAATGTACCCCGTTATGTCTGCATGGTCCTGCAGGGCAGCGGATTGCTGGATCTAGCGCCTTTGTAAGCAAATACTTGGTGGGGCTATGCGGGCAGGTGTCTGTGGCCCACCAAGGGGGGCTGTGTAGTCAGCTTCTCATATAAATAAGGAGCTTCGCAGCCTTGGAGACATGGGACCACGCACATGTGTCTGGGACTCAATGGAGGGACTTGATCGGTCTTGCCATCCCTGAGGCAGAAAGGGGGACCTCGCCGCCAAGGAGAGAGAAGAGCCATGGGGCATTGAGCAGCAGCAGCGGCAGAGAAACTGAAGCAGGAGACCAGGACAGGGACGGTGAGCCACTTTTGCTGGGTAATCAATAACGGTAAGAATGGCGTGTGTGTGTGTGTGTGTGTGTGTGTAGGGGGTGCGTTGGGGGGCGGGCAGAGGTCTGGTCTCCTCTAACGAGACAAGAAGGAAGGAGAATCAAGCAGATGGACAGCCCAAGGCTGATTGCTATAAGGCAGAGAGCTCTTAGATGCGCCTCCTCTCTCCGTCCATTTTACCAGTCATCTCTCCCGCCGCACTGCACTACTTGTCTACTGGGTTCCAGAATTCATTGGCCACCCGGAACTCACAGACCATGGAGTTTACTTTATTAGGGAGCTAACCGGTTACAATTCAGGTTCACGAATGCTCAGGATACAGGGCTTCATTCTGGACGGTCTCTTGTTAGCCATGCCTGAAGACAGATCTCTGTCTGGTTCTCAACCTTCCTACAATAGGAAGTCCCTTTAATACAGTCCCTTATGTTGTGGTGACCACCCCCCCCCCAACCATAGAATTATTTTCATTGCTACTTCATCACTGTCATTTTGCTACTGTTATGAATCGGACGACCCCTGTAGAAGGGTCGTTAGACAGCCCCCCCAAGGGGTCTCGACCCACAGCTTGAGAACCTCTGCTCTAAGTGGTCTTAGAGACCTGCAGCCTTTCAGCCTGACTTCTGCCTGGCAAGAGTCACAGAACTCTCTTGGCTCAGCTGATCAGGGTCTGGAGTACCCCCCGCTCCATTCATGACCCTGAGCCCAGAGACACTCCGCTCCAGGTCATGGGCTGGAACGACCACCGAGGCATCTGTCGGCCTCTCGGTTCCGCCTCTGCTGCTCACGTCTGTGGGGTTACAGCTTTGTCTCCTGAACGGAGGACGTTCTCAGCACAGAGATCCCGGGAACCGATGCGCTCTGCTAAGCCCCCTGTTCTTTCTCGGTGGTCATGAGAACCCTGTCCACTTCTGGGATGGCTCGTTGTAAGCCTGGTTGCATGACAAAAAAACCCGAACAATCCCCTTACATGACCCCAAGCCATGGTAGATTCGATTGCCTCCTCTGCATGGGGAAGTTGGACATTGGATAAGGAAGACGGAAGAAGAGTCGATGTCTTTGTGTCAGAGTAACCAGCCTCGGACAACCCCACGGGGTCCGTAGGCGCAATTGTATGGCGATAGTAAGATTTTAGTAAAGTCACAGAGAATAAGAGAGGTAGGAGAGAAGAGAAAATAAAGGAGTCAGACACGTTTCATGGTAGCATGCTCACCTCAGTCCCTCTTGGTGGTCGACGTGGAGGCCGGTGACAAGAGGAGAGAACAAATATATTTCTAACCAAGGCTTGTATACACTTAGGGGTGTGCAAGCCCCCCTGATTACAGGTAACCACATATGTCACAGGAAGGGGTTGTATCATAGGCAATACAGCAACGGGAGGGCCGATGACCTAGGGGTGTACACGCAATAGGAAGAGGAGGGGTTAGGGGCATACGTGTGACAAGATGGGAAATCCTGGATTCGGGATGGTCGTCCTTGAGCTGGCTAGACCTATTCTGAGCTCTCCTTCAGGAAAGCCATCCAGGGTCCTTATCAGCTGGGGGTGAGCCCCACCTACGGTGGGACAGCCAGTAGTCTGATTGCTCTGGATGGCTGTTGCCTCCAGGGAGGTAACTTCTCACCAGCTTCCGAGTGCGCTACAGTCATCGACCATGTGTTGCCAGCAGTGTCCCAGGTCTGTCATCTATCTGGGGGCGACAACCTGGGGGAAAACAGTTTTGTAGCCCACACCTTTGAATCGGGGCGCTGATGAAACGGAGAGGCCCGTGGAGGACTGCCCAAAGAATAAAGAAATCCACCTTGAAAGACGAGCAGCCAGAGTGCCCCTTAGAAGCCAGGATGGTGAGACTTGGTCTGACGTACTGTGGACATGGTACCAGGAGAGCCCAGTCCCCGGAGAAGGGCATCCTGGTTGGAAAAGTAGTGAGCGAGGCAGCGAAAAAGAGGAAGGTCTTCAACTTGGGGTACCAGCCCCCACCATCGAATGGGCCCAAGGGGCAGTTGTGCCATTGAGGGGTAAAATTACAGACATCAGACAAGATAAAGCATATGATTGCTCGCCTCCGGTACCCCCATGACTTGAGATGCTGCTAGATCCTTGCAGAGAGAGAGAGGATATATTTCCAACCAAGGTTTATATACACTGAGGGGGTGTGCAAGCCCCCTAATATACAGGTAGCCACATACATAACAAAGTGGGCTCTACCCTAACCCTAAAGGTCCCTGAGTACATTGGGGGAGTAACCTAACACCAGTGTCCCGGGCAGGTAAGGTGGGGAGGGGCTGCCTTCAGAGCCTAGAGAGAGCAATAGCATGTGTCTGCTCCTGTAGTTAAAGCTGCCCGCTACGTAGCAATCAGCCCTGTGCTTGTAAGAGGTAACCATAAGGTAGCACTATGGTAAGAGGATATAGTGGGGAACAGTGTTAATGAT